GCTAATTTTTTTCACAACCCTTCCTTTATATTATGCCATGACACACAGTCCATTCAATTCTCGAAAATCCCTCCACGGGCTCGGACAAAGCCTTCAGACGTAAAGGGAAGTCGTCCACTGTGGCGCGAAGGTACTCCAAAGGTATTTCTTCCCATGCTCTGAGCAGGACTCTCTTCAGTGAATCAGTTGAGTGTTTTTATATAGAGCAGACCTTGCTCTCCGATATGGACCATACGGAATAATCCACTGGATTCAGGTCACGGCTATTAGATGGCCATTCCTGAGCATTCATAAATCCTGGGAAGGTGTCTTGGCACCTCTGCTGGGTCGCACTCGCTCTATGAATCTTGTTGGAACACGAACGGTCTAGAGCCGAAGTGATATTTTGTTTATGGGAGAAAGATGTTTCTCAGCATAACATCGTTGATTTTAACATCGTCGATGAAAATCAGCGTGGGCTTCGCTTCGTGGGTGATCGCTACCCAAACCATGATTTTTTTCTGCATGTTCAGAGCGTCCATGAATTCTTTTCATCTCATTAGCTTCTTCAGCTCTCGAGCAGAGCACCCGATCGTTTTAACGGTTGTAGGGCGACTCCAACGTAAACAGCTTTTCATCGGACAAGACAATGTCTTGGTGGCGCGCCGACTCGAACCGTTGTAGGAGCACTTTGCACTTCTGGATTCGGTTTTTCTTCATGGATGCAGTTAGAAGGTGCACCTTTCGGCACCGATGAGGTGAAATCCCAGCTTCTCTCTGACTTCACTTCGAGCGACTTGTCCTCAGTTTTCTGGCAATCTTCCTCATCGACCTCTTCGGATTGCGCCGCACCACGTCCTGTACAACTTTGAATTTTCTCGTGGAAGTTGCAGTGGTTTTTCTTCTCCTTCCTGGGCGATTTTCTGTAATGCCGAGCTCCTTGAATTGTTTGATGGTCCACAGTTCTTCTGCTAACTGATAGAGTTTTCGCGATGGTTTTGGAACAGCGATCTGATGTAACTGGATAATCGCGGGTCTGAAAGGATGAGTTCCATCCATATTGAAAGGAGTAAGAGCTGAGGAACGAAGCTTGTGTTTTTGTTAAAGGAAGAAGTGCCACACATGTTCGCGGCTAATCGACAGATCATCGCTGCATTAAGTCAATAGGTTAAACTCTACAACTTTGTGCAAGTAATTTTGGCAACCTCTGTAGATACGCAAGAATAGGTGTATGAATTTCTCGACCACACACCATATGTCCATGTTGTACGTACATACATACACACGCTCATACACACACACCCACGCACGCCCATACCCGCGTAAGTTATCTGTTGGTTGGTCGAAAAGTTGAAGCGGTTTTTTGCATATGGTCTACGCCCATGAGGACGGAGCAGGATTATATGCGTTGGGATGAATATTTCTAATACCTCTTCACTTCAGAATCGGAAACCCCTCTGTGTGTAGTTTTAGAAATTCCCGAACGGAAATCCAATGCTTGGTTTCACCAAAAAGACAGATTTTACCATCACGAGTTCTGTTCTCCTTTTCTTGCCAAAGCATTGCTCTGCCAAAGCACTGCTTGGAGTAAAATAAAACTTGGAATATTGAGAATAGGCATATAGTTCTGTTTATTTATTCATATTATATTGTTTAGCCGATACATGGAAATTGTGGCATACGCGTCTAGTGGTTTTTCTCAGTTTCAGTCGAGCTCGATCGAATCTTCTATCTGGCGTTGATCCCGCGCCGTCGCAAGGTAGTGGAGACCACTGCTCTTGTCAGTCGTCTCCACTACCTTCTATCGGGGGCATCTTCTGCCATTACTTTAGCTTCAGCGAAATCCTTTCTGATCACATCCCGCCATTCTGAGCTGGGGCTCCTCGTGGTCGCTCCTCTTGGGCCTTGAACTCGATTGCCTCCCGTATTGGATGAGTCGGTGGTCTTCTCAGTACACGCCCTTACCATCATAGACGCAGCTCTCTCATCTTCAGCTGGTCAGCGGCTCTTTGCATGACCGCCCTGGTGTTTGTTCCTGACCTCACCACTGTCCTGTACTACTTTCCCTCAGGCGTCTTGCATACCGTCGATCGGTCGGTCACAGGGTATACCAGTGAACTCCCTCCACTTCATCCAAGCAGCGTTTATTCGGGCTTTTGTAGCCTGGTCTTCGCTACATCAGTGGTTAGATCACATCTTAAATATGAGCAATGCAGTGCTCTTCCGAAGGCTTACGCAAGACTTCACTTTGTTAACTCTTCACCTGAGGTAGTATCCTTCACGTCTAGCCAAATCCCATTATCCGTCAGCGCTTTCGGTTATTTTTGCTGCTTGTTCCGGTGTTCTTCTTTGCTCTCTGCTACCAGAGCGATGTAACCAGCGTAGAGGATGGCCTTCAGTGGTCCAGCCTGGAGCCCGTCTGTGATGGCATCCACTGTGATCAGGAAGAGGAACGGGCTTAGAGCTGATCCTTGGTGTACCCCTACCGAGACGTCTATGTATTGCTCGGTTAGGCTGTATGGAGTCTGCCTTGCCGACTTGGACTCATCGTACATGTCCTTGATCAGGGAGATTTGGTGGGTTGAAACGTTCTTGGAGCGTTTTCGAAGGGCTTGCAGCAGAAGGTGGTCGAAAACGTCTTCCTCATCGAAAAGGGCCAGGTAGTAGGATCTACTCTTTTCCCCATACTTCTCCATCGCTTGTCTGGCTGTGAATATAGCATCCGTTGTAGACCTCTGGCATGAAGCGGAACTGCTGTGTGGGATTTGAACGTGTTCTTTCGATTATGAGTACACCAATCTATCGCACAGATTCATCGTAGGAACAGTCAGCCTGATTGACCCCGATTGAACTTAACTTCAATTTTAGTGAAGGCCTTATTTGAGTTATAATAACTTTTATCACAATATCACATGACAAAGAACGAGACACGAAAAGAACCCAAAGATATGTAGAATAAGATAAAGTGGTCGAGTGTTAGATGTACGTTTATGTTTTAACAGGCAGCCGCTATCTGAACTAGGAATCGAGGTAAAGTCAGTGCAATGGTGCACAAGCCATTGCATCTCGTGATACCACGGATACGACGTATCCATGCGCAGATTTACGATCTCGGGGCTGAGATCGAGCATCGAGCACTGGTTTGGCACATATGTATATTACACAATGATATTTCCACAAGGTTGTGCAATGGTTGTAGGAGCAAAATCTAACTTCGTTAAACAACTCAATGAAGCTCGAACAACTGCCAAGATGAATAATGGCATCCAAAAGTATGGATAGATAGAATCTCTACGAGTTCTATCTATCTAAGCTTTTCAGTGCCAGAATTCTCGGAGATAATTAATTAATAATTAATTATAAATAATAATAATAAATATAATACTTAATTAAGAAGAAATAATTAAGAACTCGAAATAGAATAGAATAGATAGCTCAAAAGTTGCCCTTAGGTGTCTCTGGGTGCTGTTTTTTTTTCTCGCAGACAGACGCCNCACAGAATGAACGGAACAAATGAGTAAAATACCTGAAACTATCTAAGAATTTTTGTTCTACCTTCCGAGCATTTTCAAACTCATTTTTGGGTGCCGACGATGTGTTTCAAACATCATGTGCCTCAAAGGAATCGCTGTATTTTTTTAGAACAGACATATGGTTCAAATGCATTGGTTGAAAGAGAATGCCGTTCGAGTTGTTATGTTCATAATGCGTGAACCAATGCTGTTCGTCCAGTACTTGGCGTTGGCCTGCCTTGCAACGGTGATGTTCACATTAGTGATGCAATACAAAATTCAGAAGTCGTTCAAAAAGCAGGAAAAGGTCAGCTTTTTTTTGTAACTACCTCTTGACCACATGCTCGATTATGTATCCATCCTAATCCTGAAATGGCTTGCCATCCTTCGATTCAATCAGAAGCATTTACTAAAAATTTTCTATTTTGATCAATCATATCATTTCTTAAAGATTGCTTTTTTCACTGGTAACAATTATTGGATTTGTAGAAGATTTGGACCATCTTAAAGTTCAATGTAAGCCGGATATTCGTTTTTTTAGATGGCTCTGCTATTATCACAGAGTAGAAGTGTAGTTCGCATGATTCGAACATCTTCCATTGTTCTTGGATAAACTAGCCTGTGACTACCTGCCAGATATCCTGCTTACATCTTTGATTTAGATTGATTTTCTAAGGCTCAAGTTTCCTGAGCCCGCGAGAAACAAATCCCATCGAAAAAGTGCTAAAGATTTTTTCCTTGCTTGACATCTTGTGCTTTCTTTCTCTCTATTTGTTGTACTCAGCATTTCTTGACAACATGCTGTACTCTTGTGAGGCTATCCTTCTCTGGCCAAAGGTCTTCTTTGTCCAGATGAGTTCGCTACGACTTTAGTCCAATTTAGAAGGTAAGGGCATCCCTATATCCATATAACGCGCTAAGTGTGTGTGTTGGTTTGTTTGTGTGTGGGTGTTTTTCGTGTGTTATGTGTGTACGCTTGACCGGAAATTCAGAGCTCCTGTTTTCGTCAACCTGAAAGGTTCGCACTTGGTAAGAGTATAGACAGCAAGATGGAACACTTATGATAGGTAGCAGGACTAGACTTCGCCCTTAGGCTGCTTTCATAGTCCGCCGGCCGGCCGGCGTGCCACGAGGCAGTGCTAGGCGGGAGGAGGGCGGCAGATGGTCGGTCAGCCCCTCGAAGGGCTGTAAGCAAGGAGAGACAAGATCGAAAACCATTTGTACAAGCCCCCGGTTGTGGGGATTTTGATCTTGTTCTTCTTTGTTTTCAGCCCTTCGGCGACCGTCTGCCTCCCGGGTAACGGGACTTTTCCCCTATCGCGGCATTCTCCCTTGCGGCATGCGGCAAATGTCACTGCAATTACCGTACTCACCCCGCCTCCCCGCCAATCGATAGAACGCGATATTTTTCGTTGATTGCCTTGCTTTTCTAATTGGATTTGATCGTTTTTTCTTCTGTTTCTTTTTCGTTTTCATGTTTATCAGACTTGATTGATTAAAATGACTCCTCCTATGTGAGCTACGATCAAGACTGCATTGAAATTGAAGGAAGCGGTCAGCCAATTCAAATAATTAAAGGACTCTCTACCTCACAAATTGCGCGCTCCAATCTTCCATCGCAATCCTACAATACGCGGTGGGTGCGGCGTGTGCGTGTGTTAAGGGAGAAGTTCCCGGACCCGGTGGAAAGTCATCGATCTGGATCCCACCCACGAGGGGCTTAAGGGGAGGGGAGCGTGCGTAATAGCTAATCAGAGTGAATTCGCGCAGCCAAATTGAGATGAGAAGGAAGTAAACCAAGTTACTTGAACGCACAGATGCTATGCAGGTCCTACTTATAGCGGACGATGTGCTCACCGAGGGTGTCGGGAGTTTGTGTGCTTGGTCGGAAGTTTATATCTTCTGTCTTACTGTACCAAATCTGGCAGGGACGCAGGCAGCAGGCGATATTAGTACGAGACTGGGAGCGCCTGGCTTAACGGGGGGATCCGGTTGGTGAAATCGAAATTAGGGAA